TAGATCAACCGAAGGACTTGTATGCATGCCTATAGGCCTAACCAATGGACACAGACACCAGGGTGTTGAGGACATGAGTGAAGGTGGGGAGGGGGGGCAAGGAGGAGGAGGTAAGGACACATAGGTAATACCTTATCAATAAAGAAAAAAATAAAAAATAAATAAATAATTAGAAAAAAAATAAAAAGAAAAATCAACACTGAGTACTATGTTAAGTATGACCCTGACTTAAATTTTCAAATATGGCATTCCAATTTTTAATAAATATGTTTAGTTTTTAAAAGTTTTTTGAGGTGTCATATTTTATTCCATGAAAATCACCCATTGTAAGTGTACAATTCTATAACTTTTAGTATAGTTATAGTATAACCATCACCACAATAAGAATTTATTTTTAGCTTATTTTCTAATTTGAAATTTTCTATAGATGATTATTTTCAAGAGTAAATGATAAGGTATGCAAATCTAAGTAACTAAATTTTTATTGAGTTTTACTTGAGTAGCCAGAGGAGTTTCCTACACTGCTCTTTCAGATTCCTGTGTTTGGAGAGAAACACTGTGTCCAGATAATGTGGTTTATTATTCCAGTTCATCCTGTGGTTCCACTGTTACTGGATGTCCCCCCAAATGAATGACTACTCAGTAGTCATTTACCTCTCTAGGAGACCTGCATCTCATCATCACACATGGCAGCCCGTTAGCAAACATCTCCCAGCTTTCTGCCCCCTTCAGGTAGTTTTCCTATGTTTCCTCCTTAATTCCAAAGGCATAAAAGAAACTGTAAAACTGTCATTCTTGGAGCATGTGGTATCTTGCTTCCCTACAATGCCATCAGTTTGGCTCAAATAAATGCATAAAAATTCTCTACCGATTCTGAATTTTCTTACATTGATAAAGGCATTCAATAAATATTTATTGAATAGCTACTGTGTCCTATTTTAGACACTGACAACATAAGAGTAAACAAAAAATGACAAGGTCAAACAAATATTTGACAAATGAACATAATATACTAGTATAATGACAAGTAGTGATAAGTGCTATGGAGAAAATAAACCATTTAAAGGGAGTTTGGGAATGCCATTTTAAGTGGCATGTAAAGGGAATCTTTCTGAAGCACTTGACAAGAGCCTTGAATATAAAGTACAAGAGTGAGCCCTGCAAAGGCCCAGAGGAGAGTATTGTCAGGTACAGAGTCCAGCAAATACAAAGCTCCCAAGGCCAGGCCAGCTTGGCATGCTCAAGGAAAAGCAAAGCCAGTGTGTGGGGCTAAGAGAGTGTGAGAGAGGATACAAATGGTGAGAGAGGGTGTCAGAGGCCATGGTGAGCACTTGGCATTTTTCTCTGAGAATATGGGAAGTCATTAGAGGGTTTTGAGCAGGGTAGTAATAGGATCTAATTAATAATTTTAAGGATCTATGTGTAGAATAGAATGTTGGAGGTGTGGACATGGCAGAGGGAGCCCGATTAGGAGTCTACTAAAGTATTAGATGAGAATTAAACTTAGGTAGTAGCAATGAAGATGGGATAAATGGTCAGACTTGAAAACACATATATCTCAGATTTGCTGATGAATTAAATAGGAAATTGTGGAGAACAAGATTAAAGGACTGTCCAAGGTTTTGGCTTGAGCCAACGGAAGAGTGTCATTTAGTGAAATAGGGAACATGCAGGGATGAACCAACTTGAGGAAGGTGATATTTAAATTAAGATCCCTAAGAAGTGGGATATAGATAGAGAAATCCAAGGATTGAACACTGGGATGCTAAGAAAATGAAGAGGATTAGGCAAAAAAAAAAATGACTAAGAGAGGTAGGACAAGGTGGGAGCTAGAGACCAAAGCAGGAATAAGGAGAGGTGTTTAAGGAAAAGGGAGTGATCAATTGCAGAAAGGTCAATTTCAGTAGTTCCCTTACCCACAGCTTCCCACTCTGTGGTTTCAGTTACCCAGGGGCAACCAAAGTCCAAAAATATTAAATGGAAAATTCCAGAAATAAACAATGCATACATCATAAATGGCATGCCATTCCGAATAGCATGGTAAAATCTCTTGCCATCCCAATCAGAATGTGAGCCATCCCTTTGTGCAGTATCTCCATGCTGTAAGGTGTTTAGTTACTTACTAGCGGTCTGGGTTATCAGATCGACTACTTTGGTATCTCAGTGCTTGTGTTCAAGTAACCCTTATTTGACTCTTACAATAATGCCCCCAAAGCACAGAGTTATCCTCCGTATCTATTCTTTTCTCCTCTGCCACAGCCTCAGAGGAATCCACCATCATTATGCTTCCCCCATATCTATGCTTTTGTGTCCTCGGGGACAGCAAGAACTTAACAGCACTCCTAGTTCACATTTTCACACAGGGACATGAAAGCCCGAGATGAACACATGATGTGCTGATCAGAAGCCATGAAGGTCCAGTCCAGTGAGGCTGGAATGAGGAACTGGATCACTTGGTCTCCAGGCCAGCGCACTTCCACCACTCTGTGCAACTGTGCAAGGCTGCAATCAGTCTACCCCCGGCATGTCTGGTTACCCATCTCTAAAACCACCCTATTTGAGAGGGTGACTCTAAAGAGAAAGTGTCACCAAATCATGGAAGGGTTTTGGACAAGGAAGAGAGATGTCCAGAAGCAGCGGGAAGAGAAGGTTTAGGATTTGTGCTCAAAAGTGTACTTTCTGGAACAAAAGTATACATTTGTAACTCAAAAGTTCTGAAACAGTCTTTAGATCTTAGTTCTTGGTGGAAATCCCCTGTCCAGTTTGAGGAAGCTTAATTCCCCCATCTGTGTGAGAAAAAGCTGTTCCTTAAAAATAAAGCACAGCCTCTGAACCACGAGATGGTTTTGAAAGGTAAGTCTGTGTTGGGCTGGTGGGCCACTTCCTCTCAGAAAAGGCAGGGGAGAAGGCCCTGAGGCTGAGGAAGGAGATAATGTTCAAAGACTTTCACTAGAAAACAGTATTACAAAGTGCCAGGGCAGAACCTACAGAACCACAGAGCAACTATACAAGTTGTACAAATTGGTACCAGAGTAGTGTGTGCACCTGGCTAGATTGGTTAACATGTCTTTGACAGAAACCCTATCTTGATCTTTTTTAAAAAACAAAAACTCCCAAAAGGTCATCTCATTTAAAAATGTTACAAAGTGAGTGTTGACTTTCTCTAAAATACATATTTAAGATCTAGATTGCAGTCAGACATAAATCCTTTTAGAAAGATTCTAAGAGCACTGATTTTACTAATAATAACAAAAGTGAAATGTTCAGAATCACACATGGAAAGTTAAATGAGTTATTTCCTTTTCTAGTTCTATCTGGTTTTTTATATTGGATTCTATCTTTTTAAAGAAAAGGTGATGTTGAGTATCTCTTCATATATCTGTTGACCATCTGTATGTCCTCTTTGGAGAAATGTCTATTCAGGTTCTCTGCACATATATTTGGTTGGATTGTTTGATTTTTGATGTGGGGTTTGGAGGAGTTTTGTTTTGTTTTGTTTTGTTTTTTATGTTAAGTTGTATGAGTTCCTTACATATTTTTGATATTATCCCTTTATCAAATGTATTGTTTGTGAGTATCTTCCCCCATTCAGTAGGTTGTCTTTTCATTTTGTTGATAGTTTCTTTCACTGTGCAAAAACTTTTCAGTTTGATGTAGCCCCATTTGTTTAATTTTCCTTTCATTTCCCTTACCTAAGGTGACATAACCAAAAATATATTGCTAAGAATGATGCAGAGCTTACTGCCTATGTTTTCTCCTAGGAGTTTTATAATTTCAGGTCTTACATTTAAGTCTTTAATCCATTTTTAGTTTATTTTTGTATATGATGTAAGGAAGTGGTCTAATTTCATTTTCTGGCATGTATCTGTCCAGTTTTCCAACACCACTCATTGAAGATATTGTCTTCACCCCATTATACTAGTATATCCTTTGACATACATTACTTGACCATATAAGCAAGGATTTATTTCTGGACTCTATTCTCTTCCATTGAGCTACATACCTATTATGCCAATGCCATACTGTTTTGATTATTGTAGCTTTATAATATAGTGACCTCTTTCTCATAAAACTGTTAAATAAAAATTAATTAAATGAATTTGTCCATTCTGTTCTCTTTGCCTTCTCGCATCTATTTTCCCTAGCCCCCTATCTCCATT